ACTTATTTGAAGGAGTGATTGCTCTTGTTTATATGAGAAGCATATGGAATAACGGGTACAGGCAAATGTACAAACAACAGTTTTATTGTTCTGGAAAGAACATTTTTTTCTGTATCAAAAATCGGTCAGTTACCTTTACCATATTTGACCAGAAATCCAGTATAAGATGCCAATTTCATTCCACAGTAACTGTAAACCATATGTCCCAAATCGAAGCCAAAATCACAATAACACCAACACTACAATCACAAGCGTAACTATAGCTGTGTCAACGACGTCTAATCACGTAACCCAATTGTAGCTATCACGATTCTCAACCTCCCGCTGTGACGTATCTCACCCTTTTAAACACGTACTGCTTTTGATTGACTGGTTAGTGGTTAATTGCACATCAATGGCTACTACTATTTGTGCCATAAGGTTAGTGCAAACTTTTTTTCACGGGAAGTGACAGTGATCTTCCCCGCAGAATGGTGAGATCCGGCGCCGACCTACCCATCAGTCAGCGTTTTTTCCTCCAAGTATCTCCCACTAACGTGACACCGACCCGTCCGAGACAAGCTCTAAGTCTCCCTCCATCTGTGATAGTGTAAGGCATGTAAATGCGTGTGGTAGTTAAGGACGAAAATGGGACCAAGAAAAGGAAAGAAAAATCTCGCGCGGTTGATGTCCCGTTTATAAGTGAACTCCTCCTGCATTCGCCTGGTGATGATCGGAGAACCCAAGGAAAACTACCGATCAGAGCAGCCGGCCACGAGAAGTCTCCTCGAGAACGTTATGGTGTGACGTTTAGCGTACCGGACTGTTATACCCAAGCTCGCGGGTTCATACCCGATCGAAGCCGTGGATTTTTAGGGCGACAAAATCCTTCGTACGCCTTCCTTCGGAGGGGAAGTAAAGCCAGCTGTCCCATGTTAGTAGATTTACTTCCATGTAAAAGATCCTCAAGCCTAAATGACGCCTCTGAGCCAAATTCAAATCGCCTCTTTCTCGCCCAAGAAATACCTCCTTTCTCTGCTAGTTGATGAAAGGAGCGTAGCGAAATTTGCGTGGTCAGACGGAAGAGCGGGCCTCACGGCTCGAGTCTCGCCACGTAAAAATAAGGTAAATTCAATTCAATTCAACGTGGCTGAACACGACGTTGCGATGTATCTGGTGTCGAAAATCCTGCTACCGTCGGGACCGATACACGAGGACCTCACAGTGATGGGCCCTGCAGTGCCATCAGCTGCCGCCGAAGCCGGCATGCGAAGCGTGGAGTCGTCCGCGGCCGGGCGGAGCCATTATCCCATCGGCCCCAGCGAAGGCTCGCGCGACGGCCGGCCGTTGTCGGTGATGGATTAATGGCGCGTTCTTGGCCGGCGGCGTCCGTCTCGTGGCCCGCGCCGCTCGGAAAACACCGCCGCGAATCCCACCTTCCCACGTCAAGACCCTAGTGGATAACCACTCCGTCTCTGAATTACCTCGCTCCCTCCCGCTAGTTATCTTTAACGCTAGAAGGCCGGCTGTGTGAACACTACAGATCGCTGCATTACTGTCTGAAAGCATCCCAATGAGCTAGTTGCGCGCTCATAGTTGGGGGGGGGGAGAGAGATAATATGACTGTAGGATAACTCTTGTCTTGCTCATATGGAAAATATTTTATTCTTCCTATTGGTTGATCCAATTCGCCACGAGTACAGTCATCACCTGCACACGTCTTATGGGTTGGACGGTTCTTATTGGTATACGTACAGAAGAAAGGTATCTAAGAGGCAGTACTAGTACAGAAAATCAAACTTCGCTGATGGTTTTCCAGTCATTAGCTGCTGTAGGGAGATTCCAGAAAAGATATTGCTTCAAAAATTACACTAGGACGGCAAGCTATTAGAGAGTTAAACTCGCTGCTCTGGGGAAAAGAAATATCCAATCCTACCGAGAAAAGACTTTTCGACTCAATCATACAAAGTATAACATTGTATGGTGCAGAAATATGGGAACTAAGGAAAAGAGAAAGAGATAAATTAATGAGCATACAAATGGATTTTTTGAGAAGATGTTGTGGAGTATCTAAAATTGAACATATTAGAAACGAAGAAATTCTTAAGCGAAGTAAGGTTCAAAAATCAATAATAGATGAATTGGAAACACGAAGGCTGAAATGATTCGGTCACGTGAAGAAGACTTGATTGTGGGAGATGGCCCAGAAAGGAATGCGAGTGGCTTGTTTTAGACAGATGAAAAAGTGGTAGACCCAGAGAGGAATGGCAGAAACAGATTTTTAACGATATGCAAAGAAGAGGACCAGAAGAGAATGACTGGAACGATAGAGTGATATGGAGATTGGGATGCGAGAAACGGCCACAAGAGCTGTAAAACACTCGCAAGAAGAAGAAGAAGCTGTATATTGATATATTCTTGATTTCGGGAGCGCCAACTGCAAAGGCCGTTATCCCTGAAATATAGTGCATGTTGTTTTATCGTGGGAGATGGAAATGATCTTCCCCCGCTGAATGGTTAGATCAGGCGCCAACCTACATCGGCTTGCGGAAATTTCCTTCAACTATGTATCTCTTACTAACGTGGCACCATCCCAGCTCTCACAAGCTCCAGCCTCTCGGCTGGTCTCCCAATAAGTGTGGTAGTGTAGGGCATGTAAGTGTGTGTAAGCCAGGGGTGAGGTTAGGGCAACAAAGGAAGGAAAGATCGCACGAGATTCCCGGCCCGTTTCTTAGGATACTGCTCCGACATTCGCCTGGTGCTAATCGGAGTAATCACGGAAAACTACAGTTCCCACCAACCGGTTGTTAAAATGCCCCTTCCCCCAGCGGCTGAATTCGGCCTCACTCTCTAGCTAGTGTCGAAAATCTTGTCACAGACGGTATTCGAATCCTAGGACCAGAGGTACTGCAGTGACATCAATTGATGCCCTGAGCTAGTTTTGTCGGTATAGCTGTCGGCTTAATAAAAAGAAATACTTCTATTCGGGAATTTGGGTTTGGGTTTTATTATCTCGGGTCACATGAATGTTGGATTCGAATATATTTAAAATTATTGAAAAATGATTGATAAAAATGTACAAAATGCCAAAAATTAACCAAATACTCAACGAAACAAAATTCTTCGCGGTAACTGGGATATCAATTAAGGAAAATCAATTAATATTTTTTATCTACAGTACCTTCCACAATTCACGATATCTCAATGGGTAATTTAATTTGTCAAAAGTGTTCAGAGTCAGAATTCTCTGATGCACACATTCCAAATAATATGTGGAATCCTTATCCTCCAGTTTGAATAAATATAGATCACTGCCGAAGAAAATGATGGTATCCTCTTTTGCGACTTGTTATTGTGAATTATCCCAAATTCGAAGGCGAATTTGAGGATTTGTTAAGTGACATCTTCGGGAACATTTCCTATTATTCCAAACTCAGCAACGCAGCACGTTCAATCATTTTTCTCCGTGAATGAAAAATATCTGAACGGATAGACATATAATAGCATAGGTATAAAACTACCGTTTTACAGTAATTAAGGCATAATCATTAAATGTGTTATTCTATTAGTAATCAACATATATTATGGACAGTATTGTTGCAAAACGACTAATGAAACTAGTAACTTCGCCTATTCCTGTATTGTTCGTTGATTTTTTAGCGCTTTCAGAAAATCTTCTGGCAATGTTGCCATGATTATTTGAACTCAAGACACCTTTTGTATGTTAGCCACTAAAAGAAACATTTTTCACGAAATTCATATTTTCTTTCTTCCAGCTGAATTTGTCTGCCTCTCTTCAAATGTCACATAATATTATTAGAGGGAATGTATTTCAATTACATCTTTATGTTTTTGTTCTAACATTTTAGTGTCACTTTACGATATTATTTTCTACAAAAAATGCTTCTTGCGCAGTAAATTGGATCGGAGAAGATAATGGTTTCTAATATGTAATTTTAATTTTTAATTATTAGCAGCTGTGGTCTTCTCTCGTTTACAGTATCTCTTTTAGCATCTCGCTAGTGCCTTAACTATTCAAACTTTATTCGCTAAAATTGACATTACTGCTTCAATATTGCCAAAATCGACACTGAATTTAAAACTGTTCTTTTTTATTTTTGGTGTACTTTACATGAAGCCTTAACAGCATCATAAACATTTTCTCAAAAATGACTCAAAAGTTTTTTATTGAATTTTTTCCTCAGAAACCACATCGAACACTTAAAAATGATGCAGTTCTAAATTTTATAGATTTTTTTATATGTTCGAATATCTTAGAAGCTCCAAATATTTTTGATGTCTTGGTACTACTGCGGTATTCAAGATATAGATTTTTTTAATGATCTTCTTCAAAGGCAAATTTAACTAAAGCCATGTTCAATTTTTCGAAAATATGTGTAGTTTTCGCGTCATTTTTCATGAAATATACACAATTTTCAAAACCAGCTATCAATTTTTTTCTTTAGTTTTTTCCCTCTTATGAAGAAAATGTCACAAAAAGTAGCGCAAGTAGCGTTTCCGGCAAACATCCTGTACTTGCAAAACTTTAACATTTTGAATTCATCCTTGTGGTAGGTGATTATCATAGAAACATACTTTTTATCCATTCATTTCAACACTGAAACGGGGACCGGGAGTTGGGCGATGTTCTCACTTCGCTTCAATTTCTTTTCCCGCAATATTTTAGGAACATATTTTCTGTTTAAACGTAATGTTTCTACACAACCTGTTCCCATTTTTTTAACATCGCAACTAATGATGGGGAGTTGTAGTAATTGCCCATCCATAAAGTGTGGCCCTTGTTTAGCAATGACTGTTTCAAATTTAACGCAATTTCTGTCGTTTTACTTATAGTTTGTTGGACATTGAAAAAATATATTATTACGCACGTCGCTCGGAATCATTTTTCCGCCATCAGTTAAATACCAGCTATTTCACTATGCCAAATTATCTAGTCAACCTGGACCTTATTAAAATTGTTTTCCTTAAAACATACAAATAATTTTTTTAAACGTTCTTACTTCCAGAAGTGTGGACGGCTTCATATCGACAGGCGGGGTCTGTTGCAGTCACCCACGTTGACACCCATTGGTAGCAACGTCCTACTGTTCCGTTATGCCTTGCTGTTGTTCAAATGTCATAGGATCCTTCGTTCCATTCTCTTCGAACACCACGTTTTGTGAGTATAGATAATATTATTATCCATCTGCAACCAGGCATCTTCTATTAAGCGAGCCTAAATAAAGACAAAGTCGTAAACTCCAAAAAATAAAAATAAAAGTTTAACATAAGAAAATTAAATAGAAACAATAAAAGAAAAAAGATACAACAAGAAATGACTTCCGCTAGATTTCTACCTAGCTCTAAAACTATTATTCTCATCTTTCACTATCATTATAATTTAATTCCAGTACCGCTTCCAAAAGTTATACATCATAAGAAGAATATCATATTACCTCTCGTGTGGATCTTTTCACGTTGTTTTTTTCACACTATTTTCTGCAACTTAGAAACAATCGTCTGATAACACATATTTTGCTATCCCGGATGAGCCGCGTCTCGGTCAATTGTACTGACGTTTTCGCCATCTTGCTGTGTCCTTCTTCACAGCTATACAGCAGCTATTCAGCACTATAGCTTTGAAGACGGACACAGCAAGGTGGCCGAAACGTCAGTACAATTGACCGAGACGTGGCTCGTCCCGAATAGCCAAGAATGTATTGACTCCGGCCGCGGAAGCCTACGAACGCAATGGTCAGATAGTGTAGTTCGGCGGATGCTTTCTTCCCGCTGTTTACTGGCCAAATAGCCCGTTCTACTACCAGAATAAACTAAAGTACTCTCTGAGGTTCTTCCTCATTGGCCGGCGACCTCCGTCTGACCTCACACGAAATACCTACCATCAGACTAGTAATTTCGTGCGTCGGTCTTTCTTTAGGGGCGGGCCGTTTAAATTCTTGATGTTTTTCAAGTCATGGGGTCTTTATTACTGTATATCATTGGGCGGTTACAGAACACTATCTATTTCAGAGAAGGTGTTGAAACAATGCAAACGTTTTATGTCATGACTAAATCTGTGATTTAGGACAAATGCCTATTTATTTCCTTTAGGAAGTTATGGAAAATAATTGCAGATGTTTACAGACCATGAAATAATCTACTGAGAGCATCTGTAATTGTGCCTAAAATGTCCTAAAAGGGAAGTTGATGCCTCACTAATATTTGTCTGCCTAAAACTGCCGAAAACCGGTAATTTTGAAGAATTATCATATTTTAATTACCCATTTCTCAAATTTGTTATGTCGATATGCAAATGCTTTCCCATATTTCTTGAAACAAGATTATTCCCTGATCAAACACGTAATCGACTACGCACCCAAATCTCTCACCCAACACACCGTACATAATCTCTGCGAGTCAATTTAAAGAGGATGTTTCATGCTCATCTCCAACCGTAGTGTGGATCGTAAACTGCAGGTCCAGGCAAACGTAGTGGAATATCTTCCTACCATATTTCCAAAAAAATTACCTTAATTCGCCATTTCACAAAGATTCAATTTTATGCATTGCAAGGTCTGCTTTTTATTAAACAGCCGTTCTCTGTTGAATTTAATTGAACATTTGGTTAATATTAGGTCCTTGTCTTTTTTTATTTTGCAGATTTTTGTTGAAATAACGAAAGCCACACCCTTTCCAACATTTCATAATTCATAAATTCAATGCATAATATTGATTTCACGTTAATCCCATACCAAAGGTACCCATTACACGCGAAATGTAATACTCGTACGCGAGATGTTTGAATTAAAGTGACCGCCTACTGGGATCCTATAAGCCCTTCATGGTCTGAACGACATTATGGTGGGGACCGACGAAATCGATTCAAATGCGGCGATGGAAGATGTGCATTAATTTATCTCATTTGTCGCATTGCGTGGGAGGGACATGGAGAACCGGCAGGCCCGTAACCGGTGTTAATGCAAATCGACGTTGGAGGGCAGCAGCCCAGAAATCAGACCCACTCTGTTCTTCCGTAATTACTTGTTTCGTACTTCACTTTTACTTTCTCGCTACTGTCTACGCAGTAACAAAAAATATTGTAATGCTGTGTGAAAAAACGGCGAAATTTCGACATAAAAACGTTTATTTGTTGGCCCCTGGTAACGGAAAAGTGGATAAATCATGTGCGCATTTGTCGTAAACTACTTCCTCTAACGTTTTGTGTAGTTAGAATCCGTGATTAGACTGATGATAGTGAAAACTCGATTTGCGGAAAAACGGCTGTCCCTCTGCCTGTCTATGAACAAGGCTAGCGCCTAAACCGTTCAGCCGATTTTCTCCAAAATTGATATTCTCTAATGGCGAACCTTTATGGCTAATGTCTGATGTTCCGGCCCCTTGAATTTGAAACTCATATTTTAATTTTGGGGTTATTTTACATGAAGCCCCGGGAACATTTTAAAAATTTAAGAAAATGGCACCGATTTTTTGATTAAATTTTTTTGTTTGATAGTGTTATAGACGCTTATGAGAATGGTGCAAGTCTTATTTTCAAAATGAGACCCCTGATTTTTCAAAAATTGCAAAAAACTATTAAAATACCAGATTTTTCAAAAATCGCAAATTTCAAATTTTTCGGCGTCTTCCTGTAAATAAAATATTGAAGATATTTTTTTCTTAAAGAAATATGTTCCTCAAACATAGATTTTTAAATAATGTTAAGTTAAATTTTTAAAAAATGAGTAATTTTGCGTAATTTTGCTTCAAACATATGCACTTTTTAAATTTTAATCAATTATTTTCTCAGAAACTGTTCCAATTTTTTTCTTTTTAGTTTTTCACGTATGAAGTAAATAACTGTTAAGACAATGGTGCTGGTCTTTCTAATTTGTTAATATGAAAACAAAATTCGTACCTTAGTTTAGGAGAAACAATTTTTTTTAAATTGTTTATTTATGTTGGTTTATTTTTTCACCAACAATAAGCCACAAAATGAAATGCAAATCTAATAAAAAAGTTTATTCTTTTATCGTTAGTGCGAAACTAATATTCACCGTTATGATATTTGGGAAAATTCCCCTTCATCTATTCCCAAAAAGGTTCACCATTACCCCTCTCTTTTTTTGATAAAACGGTATTAGACCAACAATCAAGGTCAATCCAATTAATTTACATAAAATACGATTAACTTTCTTAATATTAATGTCCATAGAATGTCTAATATTAATAAGAAGTTCAACATACGTTGTAAAGCCAGAATAATACATGTTAATCCTTAGTTATTTGCGCAATGATTTGTTATACAATTAACCAAGAGGCGTTCTTAGCACTGCAATATATGGAAAAATGAGTCTCAATCTACATTAGGAAAGATACAAGTCTGAACAATACTTATTACCTTTATATTCATTGTATATAATAGAAAAGTAAAGATATTAAAACTTTTCTAACAATAATTTGTTAATAGTATAATTATATGAAATGTTGCTATGTTTTTGAATGTGTTTTTGCTTTCCAATTATCGCATGCAAAATATTACTGCACATGTTAGTAGAATAACTTATCTTCTAGGCATCCGAACAGACTGACTGACCGATAGATTATCAAAATCAAACTACACACATTTACGTACAGGTGCACAAAGACAGAAGGGCAGGACACACACAGGCAGAAGGAGTGAGACAAGAAGTCAGACAGGCGCTTTAAACCAAAAAAGGTTTTTTATGTCAGTAACTTCAAACAATTGTTTGTCAATACATTAACAAATATGTTTTGGAGCATTGGATAACTTTTTCCATACTACGTATACGAGAACGTAATACCATCTGCAACAGCTCACTGACATTGTTGCTTCTGCAACATTGTTGACAAAGAGATCGTAGAAGCAGTGCCTCAACGATGGCGGGATTCTCAGACCAACTATTATTTTTACGACGAGAGAATGAAGTGAATGTAAAAAAACTGGAATGTATATTTACTGAACAAGCCTCAAGATAAAAGAAATGTGAGACATCCGGGATTATCGAGGAGTGGTCTGACGGAATTCATTGACACGGAAGAATCCTAAAGTGTTGTGTATGACCACATTTATTCTCACTCTGCATTTACCTATGTATGTAACAAAAATTATTCCGATTGTTCAAATAGCCTTTTCGTACTACAAAATACCACTCACTGTTGGTATTTTCCCCCAAAGAAATATTTCAATCCCGCAATATACGTTTGTAAATGAAGGAAACTAGAGTTGATCAGAAATGTGCGTCCTTAAATGAAGACGCTGCGTGCTAATGACTTAAAACGGAATCACTGCTACCAGACGTCATTTTATCGGAGCTTCTCGCTGCGTACTGAGTCACTGGCAGGGAGTGTGCATAGCAGCAGGAGGTAGTGGGAATTTTTATAAAGAATGGAAGGTAAAGTGTGGGCAGAGAAATACAGCCTAGTTTTGGTGTAGATCACTACGTAGGGATGATGAAATACAACGAAGCAAATAGTTCAGTCTCATTGGATTCCATTCAAATTCAAGGGAAGGAAACAAAGTTGTTAGTGACAAATTCATTTTTGGGGGACCTCTTTGCGTTTACTGCAGAAAAGTTTCTAAATTAGGACATTCCATATAATTGAAATAATAAAAATATTTGGTGCCGGAAAATCTTTGCAAACTCTGTGTAAATATTTGTCAGTTTTCTTTAAAAATTTGTCCGAAATTTAGATAATTCACTAACATAGTCACCTTAGTAATATAGGCAGGTTTCACTGCAATTTGTTTCTTTTCAATACGCGAAGCAGCAAGTGCAGGTACTGCCGGATATTCCCGAGGTCACCGTGCTTTCGCATGGAGCTGTCTCTCACACGAGGACCGGCATACTCTAACGTGCGAATCGTGATATTCTGTCCGACTCCACCGAATATTCTAGAACTATTTCGAACGTAACATTTGCATTATTTTCATTGTATCCTTGCAAGTTGGCAAGTAATGCATTAATGGAATTTTATATTATTTTCTGCTTTCTCCAAATCAGTTGTTTGCTACCTAACGGGAGGTTAACGGGAGGTTAGGATATCATGTACGAATCCAAAACTGCGACCAATCATCGCAGTCGATGCTTTTCGTCGAAGTCCGAATGGTTCCTGGTGGACGGTTGAACCAACAGCAAAGAATCGTATGAGTATCCGGCATAAATAAGCTTCTAACTGGTTCACGTCTTCACTAAGAGATAAGACCGGCGTTGAGGCCAAGAACCGTCGTTGTAACCACTCCATATCTGATCATGTGATACACTTAAATTGAGATATTGAGCAGTGATTAGCGCAAATCACTCACCGAGCGTAGTATACTTGGGTTTTTATTTCTTGGCACGTGGGGCCTTGTCTTCACGATGGAATATCTCACTGTATTTCGTCTTTCTCGGTCGTGCCGCTAGATGTCGCATGCACGGCACAGTCTGCACCGCACGACTGAGAAGAGGCGAAATACAGTGATATATTCCATCGTGAAGACAAGGCTTCGCGAAGCGAAGAAATAAGACTCAAGTGTATTTCCTA